AGAATATACTCAAAATTTCCTTGAACAATTCCTAAAGGATCATAATGTGTTAAGAAAATATATATCTCCAAAAAATCTGTACAGGCGATGTATTAAATACCGACGTGCGTATAGATTTTCAGTTGATACTCAATTAAGATATCATCAATATTGTTATCTGTGTTCCAGAAAACAAGCAGTATTAACTATTCAGCGGATATTTCGTTCATGGCATCGAAGATGAATAGATTCAACTAAAATCGTCCAAAACGTATTAATTAAGTGGCTTTATCGACCCGATGGACTATTTATGAAGCAAGCCAAAGATCGATATTACCAACGGACTGAACTGGATAGGTGATATAATAAGCCTCGAGGGAGCGATGACATGTGACTAATTTTTCGTTTAATAAATTATATTTACCTAATGTAGGAAAGCAAGTCGGCCTACCTATCTGCCATATTTAATTTTTTCATCTAGCTTAGAGGATTGTGCATCAAAATTTGAGACAAACTTTTCTGATCTTGAGAATGTATAATTATTTATCAAGTTAATATTTATTTTTCATGGTAATATACATTATTAAATATACTTAACATGTTCGTTGATTCTCTTGTAGAAGGAAAATTCCCAGTCAAAGCATTAATTGATACAACATCTAAATATAATACTATTAGCAGGCGCCTGTTTGATAAGCTTGGAGAAGATTATGGAATTCATCATATCTGTGATCTTGTTGAGATTCTCTATGGAGATGTAATAGGTGAAATGCAATGCTTAGATTTGCAATTTTGTTATAAAGGAAAGTGGCGAAGCTTAGATGTCACTGAAGTAATAGACTTTCAAATTCGAAAAAATCCATCATTCGATCTGGTGTTAGGACAAGAATGGTTATGGATGCATAATGCAAAAATAAGCTTTGAATTTTCTCCTGAAGCCCGTAGCCACCATGCTAAAATTGTAATAGATGGTATGAGCATCCCATTAATCGATAAAGATTTTAACATAAACAGCTCCACTAAAAATAACTTATCTAATTCGGCAAAGTCTAAAGCTGGTCTAATTAAGGATAAGATTACGAATATGATCAATAAAATTCTCTCAGATGTTGAAAATAATAAGCACCGAAAAAGGCATCACAAAATATCTCGTAATATACCCCCTGCGCCACCCAGAAGATTAGATAATGATGTACACAAAAATAACAGAGCTAGCAAGAATAAGAAATATCCTAAAGTAGATTTAAGCGATGGGTGTGGAAAGCTTTCAATCAAAACGTACTTCAATAATATTTGGAAGTCAGTCCATTCTATAGAAAATGATATATATTATGAGATTTTTAAAAGACTTTCCAATATTGAGAATGAACTGAGGTTTGGAAAGATAGAAGAATTGATATGGCTAAATGATAATGAGTCAGGTCCTTCTAATTCTCCATCACATCAAAATAAGAGCAAGAAAGGTGGAGTCAAGTATTCTACGGATTCGGATACTGACACTTCTGATACAAGCACTTCTTATTCCTCCAATTCAGGTTTGGAAGATGTATGTAAGGTCACAGTTGTAAAAAAAGCAAAAATGCCACAAGAAATAAATTAATCATCTGGTAAGTTTATTAATCGACATATAAAGCACGACTTAGATTAACTATTTTTATGTATTACATCACACGTTTTCATTACCTGTGATCGAAGCATGTGTTTGAAATAACGTGGTTGTTCGTATGACTTAATTCCACTGATCAGCTCAAAAGGGTGACACTATGTGTTAACGTGGTACTAATTGATCAAAATTAATCGTGCACGGGTTAATGACGGCAGAATGACAGACAGGATGAACATTGCTCCGGATAAATTTGTAGAATGAACATTGTTTCGGTATAATTGATTACAAATGCAGTGCAGATAAATATATAGTATGAACACCGATAAAGTTTAACAATACACACGTGTTGAAAATCTCATTTACCCATATACACTTTATTTTGGGGTTTAATAGCGGGCTAGTGTCTTTGACACATAAAGTATTGAAAGGCTACGTTTTATTTTTAGTTTTAATGACTTATCGAACATTCTACAAGCATAGTTATCTTATATCGTCTCTGGAAAGTTCCAGTCTTTGCATGTAATAAATGCTAATCGATAACATTAAAATTGTGATCTATAAATTCCCTATAAAAGATGAATTTTTTTCGTTATTCAATCCTCCTGCAAATTTAAAACCAATAAAGTGAAACAATATAATTCATAAATTTTGCAATTGTCTTTGAATAAAACTATCGAATTCATAACAAAAATTAATCTACTTAGCTTTAATCGAAATAAGGTATCTTCGTTTGTGATTGAATGTCCGTACACTCCATGCTTAATTGATGTCTAATCGGATTTTTTTTTCGTGTAGATGTCTTCGATCAACATTTTGGAAATTGCACCTTTTTTGGTCTTCATGTCTGTAATGATGTTCGCTGAGAAGATCCCTGTTCATCTGATTTTAGCTAGCATGTGCTTCGCTATATATATCATCAGGTAACAAATCATTGCGGATCTCAATACACGTGTGAAAAGAATAACCGCAGATCTTACGTCGCGAGATGCCACATTTATTATCGAAAGGCAGAGAATTATGGTGATGGTAAACACTGTTATTGAAACTATTATTGGAATTACCGCCAATTACGAATCTCTTCGTGATCAGATGGACCATTTAACTGAAACGGGTTCCATAGCCACATTAAGATCTGAACAATTTAATATCCCGCCTGAACATATATCCAATTCTTCCCGAAGATCTTCTCACACTTCTTCCAGTGGCTCAAGCCAATTATCCTTTTTCAATATTACCTCAACAACCTGGAACCAATTCAAAATTATTTTTGATAGGATTATGGCAGAAAATAATTATTCTTTTGACGATATGTGTAATATAGTATCTGTTAAAATTCTTGGTCTTGGGGTGGGAAAGATTAGTAAGGAGACGATAAAAAAATTTTATTATAATGATAGCGATATGAGGGGTAGAACATTAAATAAAATAGGTTCTGTTATTACTATCCAATATCAATAAAAGTTATAATTTCATTTTTATTTCGTGTTCGTGAGTGTGACTTCGTCCATGTGTTTCACGAAAATATTTGAGTCACATGTTTGTAAGAACTTTTAAATGTGAAAAATGAAAATACCTTATTTATAATCGTAATTCTTAACTCGCAATGGTGTGGGATCCTTACTTTGACGAAACTCCACCTGAAGAATATCGATTTTTGAACTTTTATAAGTACCGCCAAAAGCAAAATGATTTCACTTTTTCATTTCAAAAAGAATCGCGAAAGCTTCAGTTGAGTTTGGACTCTTTATCGAATAGCAACAGTTATTCGGAAGACGTTAAGAGGAAGGCCAATGCGATGAGGAATTGCTTCGAGGCAAGTCTTCTTTTAATTTTTAGCTGTCTAGCATGAAGGCATATGGAAGACTCCCAGTAGTCCCGAGAAGGGATAAAACTCACACAAATACTGTGGGCATCTGCAATTTGCCTACATTATGGTCTGCAATTCCATTGTGGTCTGCTGAAAGGCAGTATGGGAGGCTCCAGTAGTCCTGAGAAGGGATAAAACTCACACAATTACTGTGGGCATCTACAATTTGCCTACATTATGGTCTGCAATTCCATTGTGGTTGCCACCTAACCATTTTCACACGAACATCTCAGCAATCACGAAATTTTACATTAACATATTTCCTTTTTTGTTAGAACCATCGATTGTGCAATAAGGATGTCAATAAATTCTGGAACGAAATTGAGTTAAAATATAGCAATGATGAACTGCAACATTTAGAATTAAAGAAGGTCTTGAGAACAGTAAGTTTTCTTTTTGTTGAATAACTCTTTGAGCTTTACTAAATGATATACTTGCATAGAAACGATGTCATGTTGATATAAGCAGTAAGACGCAGGATATGATGGAGAACATGGCCGAAGAAACCGTAGAACAGCATTTCGCAATGAAATCAACAACAAAAAAGGTGAGGTCTTAAGGATACAATCCTGTCCTCAAGGGTGATTGTTTTATGTCATTTCGTGATGCTGACCTTATATTTCCGTAGAAGGGAGAACCTTCATCCAGAAAGAGAAATTTAACCGAGACTGATGACAGTGAAGTAAGTAGATATTATATGGTTATTATGTAGTATATTTTTTCTAACCTGAGTGTATTTTTTTATAAGTGCTTTCCCAGTGATGATCTTGATTTCTCCGGTTCAGATCGTGACGAGAAGGTAAGTAATATACCAATGAGAGTGATGATATATGGATTAATATTAAAAGGCGTCTATTCAAATTTCGGCAGGAGTCAAGTAACAGCCCTACTTCCTCCGATTCAAATAATCAGCAAAAAAAGGTATACAATACTATTAATGCCATCATAAAAAACGAAAACATGTAAACCAATATTAAAAGACACTACATGTAATTTTTAGCGGAAGATAAATAAAGGAAAACAACCAATAAGAATGAAACGTGGGAGATATAATAATATAAGTGTAAATAATATTTTTATTAAGATTTCTTTGGAGATGTCCTGTTTAGTGGTTGCATTAAATACCAATTCTGTCCTTTTTTCAACCATCACAGATTCAGGCGAGTTCCTCAAACATTGAAACAACACCACAAGAAATTCAAGCCAGTTCCTCAAACATTTCCAACACTGAAACACCACCACAAGAAATTCAGGCAAGCATCACCCAAGTCCCAAGAACTCCATCTCCACGGCCCAATGTTAATAACATTCAGATCACCCCACAAAAATCTACACTTTCTACAAAATCTGTCAATTATTTGCAAAATCATATTGAAATGAATGTAAATGATCAAGGAGCGATCATAAAGGAAAATGATACTTCGGGTGAAATTTCTAACTCAATCCGTAATTGGCTTGTGACAGTATTATTAGTATGTTATCATTAATTTCTTTAGACGTTTGCGATGATAAATTGTATTTATTAAAATTTTCTTAATCTAGTCATCAAAAGAAGATTTTATGAAAGCTATTATGAGCCCTCTGGGTACAGATGCAAGCCTAGAGGATCATAAATTTCGTCAAATCTGCGAATTCGTCCTCTATGATTTGTAAATACATCATGAATTCATATTTTATTTATTTATTTTCCTTGGCTTGTTAATTTATTGATGTACTTTTTTTTTATTAGTTATTTTACAACAAAAGAAGGGCCATTAAAGCGAAATATCGGTGAACGTACATATATCGTCGAAAGAATCGTCCCCTTGATTAAATCAATCCAATCAATATATAAGGAATACGTGTTCCATTGGATTGAAAAAGAATTGGAGTGCATTAAAGAAGTGAAGAAATTATTTCCCAAGTTCGATTTACCCATCAACCAAGCTGATGGTTTGGGAGTGCGTAATTCGAGTAATAAAGCCGTCATATTCATTGAAATGTCCGGTGGTCCGGAAAATATTGATACAAAGCACGTGAAGGAGGATTCGGAAAAGCTGATAAAGGAAGCTATATTTGGTCTTGTCTCCCTATTGCGAATCATCTAGATAAGAGCGTGGAAGAGGCAAAAGATTTATGCACATTTACGATTCAAGGCATTGGTAATTATCTATTGTATTCCATAAGCATCTATTTAATCATTTTAACGCATAAATCTTACATGGAAATACTTTTTAGGTGATCGGTTAACGCTCAGTAAACTATGCCTTATAAATAAGCATGTTTACAAAGTCTCGCAGATCAAATCTGCAACCCTCCCATTTGAATTCATCGATGTGGCGGATTTTTTGGCAGTTTTTGAACTTATATACATTCTTGTGGTAGGGATTTTAATACATTCATTTGGATATTGCATGAACTTCAATATAACATTCATATTTAATTTTCAGAGCGAGCTCGAAATTCAAACAAAAGTAATTAATAAATTAAGATTATCCAAATCAGTCAATGGCACCACTGTACCAAGAATTCGTGATTGGATTTGGCTACCAGATTCAGTTTCTGCATGGGAATGTAGAGATTCAAAATGAAAATTCATGAATTACAAATGTTAATCTATTAATTTCAAATAACGTCATACATGTACATATAATTCAAATTTGAGCTTAAAATACAATTGCAAATGCTTCGTTTATTTCTTTTGAATAATTAATGATGGGTATTTTTTAATCTAAAAATAGTGGATGCACGTGTATCTCATAAATATGTCCGCATTTAAAATTTTAATCTTACTCAATAAGACCCAATTCTCGAAGATGTTCTGGGATAACTATATGTGGGTCTTCGTAGTACCAAACATACCTTAAAGCGATCCAATTTTCTTCGCATAATTCTTTCTTGAGTTGATCACGCATTAACTGCTTCTCAAAGTCTTCCTCATTTTTGTGGAAATGTTTTATATGTTGCTCATGTTGTTTACCTTGTACTTCTATAGCAAATCCATATTGCGGATAATAGATGTCAAGTTCTAGACCTCGAGGATATTCCGGTGTTTTCAAGAAATCTGGTCGGCGAATGTTAGAAGGTGGGCCAAGAATATTAGTCATGACTTCACGACATAAGGTTTCTTGCTTAAATAAGCAATGTGGACACCATGATTTAGAGTGTTTTATAGTATTAAAATTGGTAACCCATTTATGACCCTTACTACACATCCATTGCATCGGAACATTGAGATTTATATATTCTACAGAAAGACACATACCTCCTCTACTGTGAGCAATTTCCTTTGCTTCCATAAGATCGCAAGGAAAATTGCCAGAACATTGCGGACACCATGATTTAGAGTGTTTTATACAATTAAAACTTGCAGACCATTTATGGCCTTTACTACACATCCAATGCAGAGGAGCACGGACATTTAAATATTCCTTAGAAAGACACGTACCTCCTCTACTGTGAGCGATTTCCTTTGCTTCTATAAGACCACATGGAAAATTGCCGGAACATTGTGGACACCATCTTCCCATATTTTTTATTCGATAAAGAGTTGTAGACCATTCATGACCTTTGGCACATCTCCAAAACATTGGCGTGTTTGCATTAACATATTCTGTAGAAATGCACTTACCGTCTCGTTCTTGTGCAATACTGTTTGCTATATCAATATTGAATTGCTGATTACTACATTTTGGTGTTGTATATCTGGTGCAATATGTTTTTGTATTGGAATAACACGTTTTCTACACATTCGACACCAAGTTCCCTTAAGAATATCCTTCGTTGAAGCCTTCCACTTATGACCTTCTTTACACTGCCATTCAAGAGGATTCCGTCTATTAATATACTCAGTTGCAAGGCAAAGACCTTCTTTTTTCTCCGCAAACTTTCTCATATCTTCGATCGTTCGAGTATGCTGATTTTCAGCTGCACACCGTGGACACCATGTTTTTTTATTTTTCACGCAATTAAGGCTTGTAGACCATAAATGATCTTTAGCACATTTCCAAAGCATTAAAGCCCCACTATTGATATATTTTTCAGAAAGACATTCACCTCCCCTATTACGTGCAATTTCTTTAGCAATATCTAAAGTTAGTTTTGCCATTTGTAATTTATATCAAGTTTTCAAAAGGCCGGCAGACATATTTTCAGGTTTTATTCCTCCCTCTTTGCCCTCTACTCCACGAATAATTCTACAAGGCCAGCCTTTTACAATGTAATGTAGTGTAAAAAATCACGTTGAAATATAATTATTATCAATAAAGTTATCAATTATTTGTTATTTTTAATTCGTGGTTTCGCAAGTGTTAATGATTGAGTGTGAATTCGCATATGTGACATAGAGCCCCCAAGGAAGCAACTCCATGTGATCGCAGAAAAATGATATGTATATATTAGCCTTGTTATTTTTACTAATTATTTATCGAAATAGCGAATTTCCATATTTCACGAATTCGTGTACATGATACATTATGCGAAGCATGGACAAGGCCCTATATTTTTTAACTAGAATCGGTAATGCATTTGTTGTACCCTTGGCAGTAATAATATCACTAATTGCTTCAGGCGATAAGCGTGTAGCACCTGATCTTAATTTTTTAGACATCTGTATCAAGTTAAAAAAATTACTAGCCCGTGACAATTTGTCACGCCGATCACTTTTGCCAAGAAAATTATTTCGGATAAATTCTCGATCATATATACATTATACAAAAAATAACACATGATACGTTGTACGTTCCTCTAATCAAAAATCTTTATTAATAAAATATATATATACGATAAAAATACAGGATAAAAATATAAGATAAAATACGGAATAAATAAAATCTATGGATAATTATCTCGTGAAGTGGAAACTGTGGTACTCTCCTCCATTTGTCTTTGCGATGAGGAAACAGGTGCATGATAAAGTAAAGATAAATTAGTAATTACTATATTACGTAAAAGTAGCAAGGTTTCTATAAATTTAGTTACAATGGCTTCATCCGAAAATTGTACAGGAATCTCAGCAGACTGTAAATGATAATATCGGTGTACATTAACCATATCTCGTATGAAAAGATTCAAGTGCAATACATTACCTGCTACTTGCATACCTACAATACCAAACTGATCTTTATCCGGTTTAAGACTTTGGCGTATCCAATATAGTCTATCATTAGTTTCTCGCTATAACTTAATCTCATCGTCAGTCTTTTTTTGTGAACTGGGAATTAATCGAGAACATTCTACATACATAAGTTCAAAAACTGTCTTCAGATATTTCACTACAAACATAATATCTGGACGTCTTCCCATATAACCTTCACCCTTTCTATTAGCACTTGCAATAC